GAAGCCTCAACGTCAACTATGAGACCATACCTACCAGAAGAATGTCGCCGCGAAGTCTTCAATATACTGCACAACATCAGTCATCCAGATATTAAAACAACAAGAAAACTCATCACTAAAAAAATCTTTTGGCCTTCCATGCAAGTGGATGTTGGCAACTGGGCGAAGCAATGCATTCAATGCCAAAAATGCAAAGTACAAAGGCATACATTAAGTAGCCTAGCTACATTTCCACCTACGGAGAGATTCGAACACCTCCAGGTTGACATCGTTGGACCATTACCTACTTCACCGCAAGGACATCGTTACCTCGTAACAATGATCGACAGAACAACAAGATGGCCAGAAGCAATACCTACCGATGATACTTCAGCTGAATCCGTCACGAAGATAATTCATGAAAATTGGATTACTCGTTTCGGATTACTTAAAACCATCACAATGGATCAAGGAAGAAACTTTGAAAGCAACCTATTCCTCAAACTTCTTCAAACTATGGGAATACAGAAGACACGTACAACAGCATACCATCCTCAGTCACACGGAATAATCGAACGATGGCATCGTACATTGAAGACCGCACTCAAAACTCGTTTATCTCAACATACAAAGTGGATTGATGAGCTACCTACAGTGCTACTTGGGCTACGAGCAACACCGCGTGCAGACACTAGTCTTAGCGTCGCTCAGTTAACCTACGGCTGCAGCATAAGACTACCGTGTGACTTCTTTACTTCAGCATCGTCAAACAATCAAGAAATGGATTACGATTTTATGACTCAACTTCGAGAATCAATCAATCAACACGGAAATAATAAATCAGTATTCATTCATCAAGATTTGAAAACATGCAAGCAAGTTTTTGTAAGAAACGACGCAGTGAAAAAGAATTTCAACTTACCTGGATGGACCGTATAAAGTATTAGAGCGAAATAGCAAGACTTTTAAATTACAAATACCCGGAAGGAAATCTACAATTATATCGATCGACCAACTAAAGCCTGCCTATATTATTAACGAGGATACTTCAGAGGATTCATCATCATCATCACAACCACCAGCGAGGAAGCTTGAAAATCCACCATCTACATCAACCCAGTTGAAACCTATTTTAAAAATTACGAGATACGGCCGAGTCGTCAAGCCTCCTGTACGATTTCGCTAGGGGGAGAGTGATGTAGCAGCCAGGCTAATCAACCCTAAATAATATATACTCTGCTGCTACCATAACACAGAAGGCGAAGAAAACATTTATTTTCTAATTATCCCCGGCTACTGAGATACTGCGGGCTGCATATCGATGCGAGATTATTTGACGTATATATTTAACGTTCTAATAAAGAAACAAGAAACAGCCGCAAATATCATTCAGCGCCACATCGTCTTCACACGCCGCTATCGTTATGTATCCGTCGACCATTTTTGAGCCGTTTCTTCAACGCCGCAGCTTCGCTTCTTCTTGCTGTTCCGGAGCTGTGTCCCACGCCACCGCCGCTTGCCGACTACGCGCGCGCGCTTTTTTTTTTTGCGCCCGAAGCAAATATGGCGACCCTCCGTAAAGCGGGGGAGGGAGGTGGGGAATGCTCATAGCATAACACGCAGCCGGCTGCGTGGTTATGTGGAGACTTACCCACTAAACCCCACCTTTTAGGGATTGGCTTAACGGTCGAACTAGAGATCTCTAAGCCGTATACGGACGCGACCCTCCTTGGCAGAAAGGAGGGCGGCCTGCACAACTTTTATAGCCCAGTCCAGCGACGTAGTTACGAGAAGATATACACGAGTCTCACGCCGGCAAATGGAACGCACATAATAGTTGTATTTTGATTAATCTTTATTGGTCATAATGTAAGAATTGTAATTGGCTAGGCAAATAAAAATTGTTATTATTGATAAACTAGCGACGTAGCCGGACATATAAATATAGGCACGGTTGACGTAAAAATATATTCCATATTCTATACTCTATACTCCATTCGTCGGCACACCAAAAAAGTAGTTTCATTTCTCCACCACTAAACCACTCGGAGTCTGTTAATAGTGGACCTCATATCACCACTATTACAATTCCTTATCCTAGTTTTAAAACATGTCTTCAATTTTAACACTTTTATGTTACTTTTTTATGTTACCAGTTTTGAAAGTAATACAGTCCTTAACATAAGAATGGGGTAATTGTAGTAATTTAAGTTGGCAACACCAAACAGCCACTTTAGAAAAAAATAACAAGCGCCATTTTGTTGTCTATGGATTGTGTCAAAAAGCGCACGTGTGAATTTCTTCTTTCTTCTTTCTACTTTATGTTGCCGGTAACATAAGTTTTTATGTGACGTAACGTAAGTAATTGTAAAGTCTAGTTTACATCGCTAATCTTATAAAAATGAAAAAAAATCTGCACCATCGCCTAAAAGTGCTTGTAAAAATTACTTGTGTACACATGAAAATAATTAAAGATTTATCAAGATAAGATTTATGGAGTAATATGGCGTGGTAGCATCCATAATGAAATTTCCCGTTTTCGAGTTTATTAAAAAGTTTATATTTTACTTGTTTAAATATACCACTAACGCCGGCGGAAAAGGAAAAAAATTACAGGGAAAAGCTTAAAGCTAATAATCCAGAAAAATATGAGAAGATAAAAAAGAAAGCTGCAGAAAATGCTTTGAAGTATTATTAAAATAAAAGAGTTAATTACACAGAAGACCAAAAATAAGAACAAAGACGAAAATGGAAAGAAGATAGAAAAAAAGCCAAAGAACAATTGCCATCAACGTCGCAGCATAAGACTACCGACCTAACGACTAGATTTGCGTAATATTCAACGTCGTATTGAATACAAATTTCAGCAAGAAAATATGAGATTACGAAAAGATTTATTTAATTTGTCAAAAAGGTTTAAAAATCTGCAAAAATTTCTTTACAGACACAAAAAACAAATTGATGAAACGAACGAAAATTTAAAAAATGTATTGATTAGACTTAAACAACTAGAAAATAGTAAAATATCGACTGAGAGTGAAGAAGCCAGTATGATGAGACAAAATACAGCTGAGTACACTCTAAGGAAGAGAGTTGAAGAATTTATTATTGAAAATATTCCTCATATTAAAACACAAAAGAAAGAAGTTATTAAACAAAAACTACTGGAACATGATGTTTTGACGAAAAAAGAACATTCAAAAAAGTTTTGAAAAATGATTTGGTCGAGAAATACCGACAAAAAACAAAATAAACGCTGTCCTTGGATTTTAAAGGCAGTTTAAAAAATACACCAGAGCTGAAATTTGTAAAGCTATTAAGTTACAAAATTATATTGAGGATTTTTTTAACACAGACGACGTATCTCGTGCGACTGCCGGTAAGAAGGAGTATAGAACATACAAAAAAGTGACTCGCCAAATAAGATATCAACTGGATAAAATGAAAATTCTCCACCAAAAGTACACGGCTGAAACGGAAAAAATTAGTTTTAGTACTTTTAAAAAATACAGGCCGTTTTACGTCTTACCTCCCAAAATAAGGAACTGTGAAATTACCAAACAAGACTATAAATTAATCAACAATACTGTTTTATTTAAATGTGGAAATAGAGTTAATCTTTATGTGTTAAATTTTAAGCACAAATAGCATTCCTGGTAGAGGTGGAGACCTGGTGACCCGTAATACGGGTATCTTACCTACCATTGGCATTGGTAAAGTTGTTATGTACTATTTATATGCTACTTATAACTCTAATTCTAACTGTGTTTTGTGGTGAGAAATAAACGTTATCATTATTATTTAGGCGTATTAATAGAGTATTCTCATCTAGTTTGGCTGAAGAAATGATAAATATACTTAAATATATAATAAATATATTAACATAAATAAATAAATAATACATGAATAAATAAAAGCCTACCAGATGGAGGCCCTCGGTAGGGGAGACCAAACGGCCGAAGGTTAGGGGGAAAGGGAAAAAACCGGCGGACGATGCGGGCGGTATTGAGGAGCACCGTCTTCTCCATTTGAGCCTGGAGCGGTCCGTCACGGAGTAACGGCCGCCTCATATGACTCGAGAGGCGGACTGGGATTAGACCGATTGCAGAAATGACTACAGGAATAATTTCGGTCGACAAACCACCCCACATGTATACATGAGGACAGGCATGACCCAACCGTTATATGTGTGTGTGTTATTCACGCCGGACAAAAGTTTGTTAAGCACTTTGGTCAAGAGTGCATAAAACACATCGCAAACTGACTGTTTCTTAACAGTCTCATCGATAACGATGTTCTGAGACATACCCAGGTATCTGTATGTTTCAGCCTCGGAAGGGCTCAAAATTGACGGACATAGATAAATCTATGCCCTCACAGTTAACAACCCTTCCCCTTTCAACATGTAGACCGCATACTTATCCGTTCCCAGCTCCATTCTAATGCAATTACTAAAATCACTAGTGATATTTAGCAATTCCACTAGATGGGAGTGACTGGAGGCGAATAACCTAGGTCATCCATATAGAATAGGTGTGTCACTTTTGAGCCTCCTTTCAAAAGCTGAAAACCCCTCCGGGAGCCCTCCAGTGAGAGGTTTCAAAGAGAGGCAGAACCAGATTGGACTAAGACAATTGCCCTGGAAGATACCCCTTCTTATCCGTATGCGGCTTTCCGCAGCCATTATCCACTCGCTCAAATGACAAGGGATCGTACTCCACCGCCCCATACACTGCTCGAGGAAGTCTCTAACAGTCAATCTTGTATATATCGAAGACCCTCTTTAGCCATGTATGAGGCAACGCATCTAATGCCTTTCTGTAGTCTATCGAGGAGGCGGAGAAGTTATGACGTTTGCGTTTCACCACTTTACCCACGACCGTGTCAATGAGGACACGGTCATGGGCAAAGGCAAAAAGGTACCTTGTTTCCACGACCACCATCCCATCATCCATTTTGAGCGCGCGACATCACCTGATTTAAGTCCAGGTGACAAGTGATTCTCGCGCTCAAAATAGATGTTAATGTCTTGCATATGTAGGTAGACACATGACGGGGCAGTATTTGCTCGGGTCTGTGGTACCCTGGTCCTTAGGAACCAAATGAGTGTTCCCAGAAGTGAAGAGGCTCGGAAGCGACTTCTGGTTGAGAGCCTCTTGAAACTGTCGGGCGAGCACATCGTGACACACCACGAACTCCTTCAACCAGTGGTGATGCAGGTGCAGCCCGTCAACCCCCGGACTTTTCCAGTTTGGGATCCTATGGACCGCCCCAGCTACGTCGACAGACGTTATGATGACGGGGTCCATGGGCGTAATACCCGCACACTGACTCGCCACAACTTCCGTCCAAGGGCCCTCGCTATGGTTTACGGGCTCTGACCACAGGCCGTGACAGAATGGGACAGTGTCGTCCTGATTCGGCGCTGAGCCTATTCCACTTACCATTGGTCGCTCCAGTGATTCATAGAGCTTCTTCTGATTACTTTGGAAGAGACGATTCTGGTTAAACCGTGTCGACCTCTCTGTACAACGCCGAATCCGCTTTCCCCAAGCAGCGATTCTCTGCTTCAGATCATCTATGCGCTCCGTCAGTTTTTGCATTGTATTCGGCTGGGACAAACTGACATTTGTCCCAGCAAACGTCATCCTGACGGTGCACACAATTCTTGGCCTGTTATTGCCTGAAGCATATCAGTCTGGCGATTAAAGCTCTAGCCTTCGCGATACGTTATTATTATTATTATTATTTACTTATATTAATCTATATATTTACATAAATTAAAGCCCCGACGGTTCGACAAAAAATGAGATTGACTTCATTATGACGACCAGACGCCAACTGTTCAGTGATGTCTCAGTGATCGCAAGGGTGAAAACCGGCAGCGATCACCGAATGGTTAGAGGCACACTGAACCTAAACGTTAAGTTGGAGAGGTCTCGTCTAGTGAAGTCAACGCTCCGTCCCCCTCGTGCTCTAATCCAGAATCCCGAGACTTTTCAGCTCGAGTTACGTAACCGCTTCCAGTGCCTAGAAGATTGCAATGCAGTGGACGATATGAATGACAAGCTCGTGGAAACTGTCCATGCGGTCGGAGCTAAGTTCTGCACGACCCGCCGTAGAAGAACACAAAAACTCTCCGATCACACTCTTAATCTCATGGCTGTTAGACGGGAGATGAGGCTGCAATCGTCAACAGATTTGACAGCATACAGGCAACTGAACTGACAGATCTCCAAATGCGTGCGGCGAGACTTACGCAACTTTAATACTGCTCGTATTAAAGAAGCGATCAAGCGGAACCAGGGCTCCAAAGTCTTTGCCAGAGATCTGTCTGCCAGAAAGAGCCAACTGTCAAAGCTGAAGACTGAGTGTGGTAGTATCGTTTCCGGGATACCTGGGATTTTGAGTGAGATTGAGAGGTTCTATGGGCAGCTGTACACATCATCGTTGGAGCCACACGCAAGTGTGAGTAACGATCCAAGAGCAAATCTTACCCGACACTATTCCGATGATATCCCGGACGTCAGTCTGAGCGAGATTAGAATGGCTCTCCAGCACCTTAAAAACAGCAGGGCCCCAGGCGAGAATGGAATTACAGCGGAGCTTCTGAAAGCGGGTGGAACACCGGTACTTGAAGTCCTTCAGAATCTCTTCAATTCCGTCCTCCATGGTGGCACTACTCCGGAGGCGTGGAGCAGAAGTGCGGTGGTCTTGTTCTTTAAGAAAAACGACAACGCTCTCTTGAAGAACTACAGACCGATTTCCCTTTTGAGCCGCGTCTACGTGCTGTTTTCGAGAGTCATTACGAATCGTCTCGCACGCAGACTCGACGACTTCCAGCCTCCCGAACAAGCCGGTTTCCGAAAAGGCTTCAGTACCATAGACCACATACATACCCTGCGGCAGATTGTACAGAAGACCGAAGAGTACAATCTGCCACTTTGCCTGGCGTATGTGGACTATGAGAAAGCCTTTGATTCCGTCGAAATTTGGGCGGTGCTACAGTCCCTTCAGCGGTGCCAAGTTGACTGTCGGTATATCGAAGTGCTGAAGTGTTTGTACAGTAGGGCTACGATGGCTATCCGAGTACAGAATCAGAGTTCGAAACCTATCCAACTGCAGAGAGGTGTAAGACAGGGTGACGTTATATCCCCGAAACTCTTCACCGCTGCGTTGGCAGACGTTTTCAAGCTACTGGACTGGAAAGGATACGGTATTAACATCAATGGCGAGTACATCACTCACCTTCGATTTTTTGACGATATAGTCCTTATGGCAGAATCGCTGGAGGACCTTAGCACTATGCTCAATGCCCTCAATGGTGTCTCCCAACTGATAGGTCTTAAGATGAACATGGACAAAACAAAGATCATGTTTAATGTCCATGTCACACCTATGCCGGTAGTTGTTGGGAGCACTATGCTCGAAGTTGTTGACGAGTACGTTTACCTGGGACAAATAGTCCGACTAGGTAAGTCTAACTTCGACCGAGAGGTCAATCGACGGATTCAACTCGTCTGGGCAGCGTTCGGGAAATTACGACACATCTTCTCGTCAGGTATACCTCAATCTCTGAAAACTAAAGTGTACAACCAGTGCGTGTTGCCAGTGATGACTTACGGATCAGAGACGTGGTCCTTCACTGCTGGCCGTATGAGGACGCTCAAGGTCGCTCAGCGAGCTATGGAGAGGGCTATGCTCGGAGTTTCTCTGCGTGATAGACTCAGAAATGAGGATATCCGCAGTAAAACCAGAGTGACCGACATAGCCCAACGGATTAGTAAGCTGAAGTGGCATGGCCGGCCATATAGCTCGAAGAACCGATAACCGATGGGAAAGAAAGGTTCTCGAGTGGCAGCCTCGTACGGTGTTAGGGCGACCCCCCACTAGATGGAGTGACGACCTGGTAAGACATGCAGGAAGTCGGTGGATGCAGTTGGCTCAGGACCGTGCTTTGTGGCGTTACTTGGGGAAGGCCATGTTCAGCAGTTGACTTGTGAAGGGCTGCAATGATGATGATGATGATGATGAGTTATATTAATCAATCTCAACACTTTATAAGGGATTTGCATAATACTGAATGTAGTATTATGCAAATCCCTTATAAAGTGTTGAGATTCACCGTGATGTCGCTGTGAACATACTTACTTGTGCTTCAAGAGCCGTAAGAAAATATTAGTGTTAAAAAAAAACTTAAAACACAAATAGATCATAAATTGTGATGATCCTCTTTTTACTATTTTAGTTAAAAATTAATCTTGTAGGTAGCAGTTCTAAATTTAATATAACTTGCTAGTTGTAACCTACCATACGTATTCAAATGCAACGTTGTGTTATAATTTCAAAGCATTGAAATAATACTAGTTTTTACGGAATTTATCGCGTATATTTTAACTTTTTAAATACCCGACGTTTCGAACGCTTTACAGCACTCATGGTCACGGGCAGGACTGAGATGTTCAATGTCCATATGTCATAGTTAACCGCGGTTACCATAGATTAAAATTTAACTTTTGTTCCGATCTATGCAGTATGAACTTATGGTATCTTGAAGTCTTGCAGTTGTATGCTTGGGTTGGGATTTAATTTTATTTATTATAGGATCCCAAGCAGATGGTAGCACCCAGCCATCTTCTCTATTGAAATTAGGATGTTTTTTGATTTCAATAGCCTCGCGAATCATCCTTGGAAGGAATCGGTGTTCTTTAGCGAGGATCTGCGGTCTATCAAATCTGATGTAGTGACGGGGGCGATCCTGTACGTGTTCACAGACTCTCCCGGAGCGTCGATTCTTCACATCAGCTATATGTTCTTTAACGCGGGTTTTTATTGATCTTTTAGTTTGTCCTATGTAGGAGAGACCACATTCACAATCAAGCTTGTACACTCCTGCATCTTGCAGAGGGACATTACACTTGACCGATGGTAAAAACTGACCAATCTTCTTCAGCGGCTTGAAGTATGTTTTGATGGAAGCGCGCTTCAAGATGTAGCCAATCTTGTCAGTGACTCCTCTAACATATGGCAGTACAGCAGGTACACGCTCGACTGTGGCCGGCTTCACTCGTTCTCTGTGACGTAGGCGCGGGACTCGAAGCTTGTTGTCATGCAAAACTTGCTTGACATGGTGGAGCTCTGCAGCCAGGTGTTTACTGTCACAGATCCCTCGTGCTCTCTGAAACAAAGATTTACCCACGGTAGCTAACTGTGAAGGATGGTGGTGAGAATCACCGTTTAAATATCTATCTGTATGGGTCTTTTTTCTATACACAGTATGGCTCAAGGTGTTCCGGTTCAGGATTCCGAATTACTAACACATCTAGAAAATCTAAGGAATTGTTTGCCTTTAACTCCATTGTGAAATTAATTTTAGAATTTATAGAGTTAAGATGGTCTAAAAATGCAGTTACTTTATCTAAAGGTAGAATTGTGAAAGTGGCGTCTACGTACCGCTTGTAGAACTTTGGATTTATGGGAGAGCTAAGCAAGGGCTTTCTCCTCAAAGTCTTCCATAAATATGTCGGCGACAATGGGAGATACAGGTGAGCCCATCGCCACACCATCTACTTGCTTGTAGAACTCCTCCTTCCACAATAGGTAGCCAGATGTAAGGCAGTGTCTGAGTAATACTGCATATTCTACGGGCATGTTGTTATCTTCCAGCCTTCTAGTTACAATTGAGATGCAGTCTTCAACAGGTAAGCATGTAAACAATGACTGCACATCAAAACTGACCATAGTTTCATTGTCTGCCAGATGTAGGTCTTTAATCTCGCTGACAAAATGGTAGGAATCCTTTATGTGTACTCTTGTATGTCCCCTGAGTGGTGAGAGTATTTTCGCTAAGTGTTGAGCCAATCTGTAAGTTGGTGAATCGATTTGGCTCACTATGGGACGTAATGGAGCATTGGGCTTGTGTATTTTTGGTAACCCATACAATTTTGGTGATTTGGCGCACGTAGGTATTATCCATTTTACGTCCAGATTTAATTTTTCGGAGTGTTTCTTTATGAGGTCACTAGTTGTTTTTAGTGTGCTATTTGTTGGGTCGTTTTTAACCTTTTTATAAGTACTTACATCCGACAAAAGTTCTTGTATTTTAGAATTATAATCTGACGTATCCATGACTACCGTGGCGTTTCCCTTATCTGCGCGGAGAATCGTAAGTTCGTGTTTATTGCGTAGGTTCTTTAACGCTATAAATTCGTCTTTGGGAAGATTCGGTTTAGGCACTGAACATCGACGTAACATAGACGAGATGTCTTGACGTATCGCCTCCAAATCTTCTTTCCGCATATTGTTTTTAAATAAACAGTCCTCGACACTACAGATAATTTCTTCGTACGGTAATTTGCGGGGTGTAATTGCAAAGTTGAGGCCTTTGGATAAAACCCTAATTGTTGCATCATCCAGTGTTTGTTTTGACAGATTATAGAGCGCGATTAATCTATGATCTGTGTTTGTCAATGGTTGCTTTCGGTTCTGGCATTGATTCAGATGTTTGACATTTGACTTGTTCGTTAATTTTTGATATTTTTCTATATGTTTGTTTTTGCATTCATTATATTTATTAATTTCGCGTTTATTTAATGTTTCCATG